TTTTCCACCCCCCCCCCCCCCCCCCCCCTGCATGGCCAAAAAGCCTGGAGCGTGGACGACAGCATCCAAGCCATCAATCGTGGATGGATCAGCTCCAAAAAATAATCTCGTTGCCAGGAATATCTCCAGAATGGCAGCATCCGGAACTGGAACAAGCAAACACGCGTGGCCAAAACCAAGCCAGTTGAGAAGAAACCCATCAAATGCAATCAATCAATCCCGTATAATCAAGTCGGGAAAACCGCACACAAAAAAGCAATAAATAGTCCGCAGCAGCCCTACTGCTGTTGTTGCATACAAGAACCGAGCAGGGGCTGGTTGGAAACCTTTTGAAAATACTTGTGCGGCACTTTCGAGATGTCGGCAGATGATGCTCACATCAACGGTCCCGAACAATCCAAATCGTGGGATCGCGAAGGAGCCGTCCCGTCACGCCCCCAGTTTCCAGCAACTCAATACATACAGCACGACTTTTTGCTCACGAAGACCCCGCCTTCCCTCCCCACTATACTATACTATATGTTACAGCCCTCTAGCAAGATAACACCTGAAACAGCAAAAAAAAACAACAACGCAGCGGCGAGATGAGGCTACACAGAGTTTAGGCGAGAATTCGGAGTCGGGCTCGCCATCATCTCCGGAGACTTCACACGCACAACGAACGCCTTCTTCGTGCTTTCGGCCCATCTCCGCAGATTCCTTCTCATCTACCCTTGGCCGGTGCAGCAGCAGCAGCAGTAGCAGCAGCAACAGCAGCACTACTACTGCTACCGGCTACAACACATCCCCAACGACGTCCCTCATGGTAAATACTCAAAACTAAACCTCTCCCAAGCAGCCCGCCCGCCCGTTACATGACGTGACCGCCTGCAACAACAACAACAACAACAACAACCAACCATGTGGTTCGCCCAGCAATGCCGCTCGGCTGACACCATCTTGACCGACATCTTCGCAAAAAAGCAGAAGAACCGCCGCGTGTAGTAAAAACAGACCTTTGTGCACGAATGTAACTCACAAAAGAACGACAAATTAGGTCACGTCGGGGAGGGAATCACACCATCGGGTCTTCCCGCTCTGACGGACCCTTGCTCTTAGGCGACGGGAGATCTCGTCGGCGTCGTCGTGTTGGACCAAAGGAGTAGCCAAGAACCAACACCGCTAGGCTAGGCTAGTTGGTTCCGCTCTGTTGCAAACCTGGTGCGACTCCCTCTGAACAAATGGAAAGCCGACAACAACGCTCATACAATCCAACAACGACAACGACAACAACGTCAAACAATCGTTTCGACCAAGAGGATCCCATCTCCTGCCGCTACCGCCCTAGCAGCCCTCGCAGAGAACAAAATGCGAGTACCGCCATCTCCTGTGCTACACTACTACTGCCGCAAGGGGTGCATCCGCCGGTAATGGCCGACTCCCCTCAGTCGGAACGATATTTTATGATATGATATGATCCTTTCTCTCACAACGAATACAAGCTGCGGAGTACGATCCAAACAAGAACCGGGGAACAAAAAAAAAAACGCCTCCACAATGTCGGAAACCCTCCAATCCGCGTCGCCCCCGCCAAAACCATCGTCGCCAGCGTCAAACGTCAAATCAAAACTAACACGGCCATTGCCTATTTGACATCGTTGCATACGGCGTACTCCATCCCAAGCCGACGGTCTCTGATACACTACAACCATCCACAAAAGGGTTCGGTTGAAAATATTGACAGCAGTCTGATACAACCACAATCCCCTCACACTCTTACCGACGAAATCACCGTCCAGCACCACCCCCGTTACCGATACAATCCGCGGCGCCCCCAGAATCGGTGATGAATGGTCGATCGTCGGTCAGACAGGAACCGAATTTTCAGCCACAGCGTCGTCAACCTCCGACCATAAGGTCTACTGGTGCTTGCTTTTCATAACCGCCGCTCATTGCCGCCGTTGCTTGGTAACCGCTGTGGCTAGTCGCCGCCGTTGCTTCTTGCCCGTGGCTCATCGCAAGAAGGTGCTTCGTAACCGTGGCTCATCGACGGCGTTGCTTCTTGCCGGTGGCGGGGGTGGAGGAGGATTGCCTCTTCTTTTTGGAGGAGGCAGTCTGGTCTGAGGAGGAAAAGCTCTTCCGCTTCTTGCCGCCGTTGCCGGTAGTCTGCTCTCATCGTCATCATCGTCATCATCACCATCGCCATCATGCCACGGAGAAATCGAGGCACGGGGTATAGACACATGAGGGGGGTGGTGTATGATTTAGGGCGTGAGATCACTAAAAGAAAGGCGTGCCTGTATCTTTGGGTGGAGGATGAGGGATGGAGACGTGCTGAGATTTAGACGAGATTTGGCATTGACGTGCCCAACACAACCAGAAAACACTACATAGTCACATGGTAGTCAACCTAACCAACAGCAGTAGCGATCACGGAGGTAGGTGATCTTACCGTAGGTGACACAAGATTGGACCGGTTATCAAAGCTCGTTTACTCTGAAGGAGAGAAGAGAGTGGTGGTGGAACCGTCTCGTCGAGATCTTCCCGAAAACATGTCAACTGATTTTGGAATCCTCTTTCCTCGAGGTGTAATCGAGCTCTGAAACTCTGTCAAGGGTGTGTGGTATCTTGTGTCATGTCACGTCACCTACGGCATCGACCCTCTTCGTCGACGGCACTAACATCAATTATCATCAATATCATCAACATCAATAGGGATAGAGATAGGGGAAAGCGGGGGCGGGGGTGGGGGTGGAAGAGGGGCAAAATCTTTCCCACGTAACTGCGCTCTTCGATGCCACCAAACGCAGTTCATTCGCACTTGATAGCGTCAAGCAACGAAACCCTCCCAACCCGAAACACACAACAAAAAAAAACGCACACAAGCACAACCAAAATGACCACAAAACACAACATAAAAAAAAACAGGGAGCGTCGTACCTCTAGTTCCTCGTTCTCCTTTTCCACCAGGCGGATGAGCGTGTCACCCCTCCTTTGCAGCTCGGCCGCATTTCTGCTCTTGAAGAACCAGTCGAACCGGAACTGCCAAGCCTGTGTACAGCGCGGTCAATGTGCAAGCGGGGAGGAGAGAAAAGTTTGTGGCAGGATGAGAGAATAACGGAGCACCAAACAACCACAGGACACCATCCGAAAGGGACACCACACGACACCATCCGAGAGGGACACCACACGACACCATCCGAGAGGGACACCACACGACACCATCCGAGAGGGACACCACACGACACCATCCGAGAGGGACACCACCAAGGCGGAGGCTTGGGATGAACTTACGCGGCGCGGTAAACCAATCAGGATCAAAGTATCCTGTTGCTCAAGCTAAAAATTTTTGCATACCTTGCGGATCTCCATGCGGATGACCTCCCAGTTGCCGTAGCCGTATCGGTGCATCATGTTCAGCAGAAACGCGTCCTCTTCCTCCGTGAACACTTTCCCCTGGACAACGTACGATAAATTACAAAAAAAAAATGTGTGCGGAGGTGGGGCGTGCTTGTGTGTGAGAAAATATGAAAAACAGCTACAGAGGCGAACCGCCAACGCAAAAATTATGAAATGTGTCATCAAACAACAAAGCGATTGCAGCAACAACACCGCCAGCATCGGCAACAGCAACAGACAACAACAGCGACAGCAGCAACACCACCACCACCAGCAACAACAGCAAACAATAACGAGCAACGGCAACAGAATCTGCACCATCAGCAGCAATAGCAGCAGCACCATCAGCAGCAGCACCATCAGCAGCAGCACCATCAGCAGCAGCACCATCAGCAGCAACAGCAAACAACAACAAGCGACAGCAAACAACAACAGACAACAACAGCGGCAACAGCGCTCTATAGCCCACCTTGCCACCGTAGTAGTTGATGGTGAGGTCACTCCACGGGTTAGCGTGTCGCGAAACCTTGCTGTCGATGGCAGAGCGGATCTGCTTGGAGCGGAAGATCCGCTTCTCGCCCTTCTCGATCTTCTCCATGATCTTCGGGTGGTCCGCCAGCTCTCGGCATCGCTTCCAGAACACCTGCCGGAGACATAAACAAAGCGCCAAACGTCAAACGGGAAACGCAAAGATAAACAGACAAGCAGCAGCAGAAACAGATAAGAAGCAGCCGCAGCAGCAGCAGCAGTGGCGAGGCTCAATCTTGTGTGAAACATGCCTGGCGCTGTGGTTGTTTGCAAGTAAAATCAAAAAATAAAATACGGAGGAACAGCAGCAGGGGTGACGCTCAATCTTGTGAGGAAAATGGCTCCAACCCTTGCGAAAAAAAAGAAACCGCGCGATGAAAGTGAAAAACATCGGCGACTTACGGGCGGATATGTTTGATGGGTGGGCACTAAACATCAAGAATCAATGGTGTTGAAGTTGAAACTAAGAGATACAGGCTTGGCCAATCACGTGTGTCCAACCAACTAAATAGCGTGGATCACCAAGGCACATGATGCAGTGATACGCCAATACGGGTGAAAATTCTCGTGGTTGCAGGGAGAAAGTTCCTTGCCAAGACTGCCGACTGGCCTACTTGCGGCGCTCACAATCTAGTCTTGCTTATGGACATGACCTATGTACTATCGGTGCTCACGATCTAGTGTCACGGGCATGACCTACGCACTATCAGCGCCCACGATCTAGTCTTACTTGCGGGCATGACTGATGGGAAAAATCTTAGAAAAATCTGGCTGACCTTGATGTACTTCCGAACGTTCTCCTCCGTCTTCGCGGTCTCCAGGCACACGTCCCGCACCACCGCCTCCGTATCATCCCTTTCCAAAAAAAAAAAGAGTGCAAGATAAACGTATCCGCACGAGTTAGCAAACTAAACTTGCACTCGAAAGAATAAAAATGAGAAGCCTCGTGCTTGAAGCAGGGCGGCGCACACCACACAAGATGCTTGACAAAAAATACAGGACCGCGCTGAACACGCCCACCCATAACAAACCAAGGGCGCGGCCATCTCATCATCTCATCATGTGCAAGGGTTCCTTACGCTTGCCCCAACATTGCACGGGCGGGTGTTCAGCCTTCGCGGTTCCTTTTCCCCACCGAATGCACACGGTACGGATGTCTGTTAAAAAGGTACCGAGGAGAGACCGGAACGTTTTCCAAAGTCAAGACACAACAGCAACAACAACAACAACAACAACACCGTGCGAATGCGGGTTCAGCTAGTCTTGCACAATCTGATTTTGTTGCGTGGCTACCTCACTCACCGACCGTGGCGCTCTGTAGCGGCAACGAACGCGCGGAAGTCTTTCCGGTTCCAGTCGCCGAAGGCGTTGTCGATCAGCTTCTTCTTCTGATCCTGCTCCTTGGATGACAGCTCCAGCTATTGCGAGGACAACATGCAGCAGCAGAAAGAGGTAAAGGCGGTGGCAGAAGAGATGAGGACTCGGGGGTAGGGATGGGTCCGTGAGCAAGCCCGTTTCTCTCCTGTTTGCCGACGAGTCGACTGGAACGTTACAGCAACAACACCAACCTCACCAACAACTTCAACGCTTGCTGACGCGAACAGTGTCCCGACTCACCCCGCTGGCCGTCTTCTCCAGCTGAGCGGCGTGTTCTTCCTCTCCCCCGTGGGCCTCCATCCTCTTGCACCGGGTTCTCAGCTCCTGCGCCAACACCAACCAGAAACGTCGAACGATCATGCAAACCGATGCGAGGAGGAACAGACTTGACGTCAACACGTGTCAAAGACACATACATACATACATCATCGTTGCATAAAAGGCGCGGAGAAAAGAAAATCTCCAGGAACAACGAAAACACATGACAGATGCATTATACCGTTGTATACGACACAAGATAACCAATGGACCGATTTTCAAAGCTCGATTTCTCGACAGCAGAGAGAGTCACAGCGCTGAAAACAGCGTCGTTGAAGCCGCCTTGTCGAGAGAGAGCTTTCCGAAAATGTGTCGTTTCGTTTATGCGTGTTCTTCGTCGTGGCGAAATCGAGCTTTGAAAATCGGTCCAGGGGGTGTGTTATCTTGTGCCGTACACGGTACATCGTCCCCAAACCAAAGCTAAAAAGTATTTTGAACAAACACGCATCACCTTTTTTCCTTTTTCTTGGTGCGAATGAGACGTGATTATTGACTGAAACATACTTCGAAGTACCAGGTAAATTTACCGCGTTTCATGTCTCAACTCTGCTGGTTTTGTGGCAGCTCGGTACGGCAACAAAGCCATCAACAAAGGAGGACGAACAAAACGGAACCTCTCGTGCACGCACGCCAAGAGCACTCGCTCGCCTCTTCGAATGATTGCCACGCGACAAAGAGAGCAATCTAAACAGTTTTCGAGACGGTGCCGCAGAAAAAAAAATCACCTCCGGAAAAATAACTTCAACCCAGCCACAGAAATTGTCGCACACGTAAAACACACACGAAAACAAAAAAGGACATTAAATGCGTGTGTTGATTTAATTTTTTTGTACTGTGTTTCTTAATGTGTCTTTGGGAGCACTGTTTCCACAGATCGTCAACCCACGATACCCTAAAGAGACTATGACCCTATCTATTTTAAGATACCCTACGTCGCGCCTGACGCGCACTTTTAAGAGACAAAGAGATTGCTGTTTTGTTCTTGGTAGATGTGTTTTCTCGTGCCTGGCACTGGCCCTCACCTTGATCTCGTTGATGATGGCATTCTTCCGGTCCGCCAAGTCGTGCTCCTTGGTCTGGAGTGCCTCAAGGGCCTCGCGGTCGTAGAACTGGAAATCGTGCATCGTGATGCCCTGACAGACGCCAACAATAGAGCGACAACGGAGAGAGCGATGGACGCGAACAAGGCATCAGGTAGTAGTAGCGTAAGTTATGCCCTGACAAACGCCAACAATAACTCGAAAATGGAGGAGTATAAACGTACATCAAACCATTCCCAACCCCCCCCGTAACGCAGACGTCTAGTTGGAGACATGTCAGCAGCAAAATAGGGCACCTTTTCAAGCAACACACAGGAAGGCGTTGGGGCAGGCACTGCCTGTATTGTACGATACCGAAAGCTAGCTTGTTTACCTTCCGCTTGCGTACGCCGGGAATGTTCTTGTTGGAGTCCATCCGTGCGCGGTAGTACTCGTTCACGTCGTAATTGCTCTTGCGCTGCCTGGTAGGAAGGTTGATGAACGCACCCGTTCCTGCTCCCAGCAACAACAAAAAAAAAAACATGAAACGGCGGTTCAACAAAAAAAAAAGTGAAACCGGCAAGGTTCGTCTTGTTTCCCCGTAGCGGCAAAAAATGATGCGGGCATGCATGCGTACGCGCAGAGGGCGGAAGGAGGCAAGAACGCCAGAAAATTCCCACAAGACGACTACTGCTTACACCCACGGCGTTGCCACTGACAGCGCCATCAACGCGCGGGAAGGAATCACACAACAACAAAACTCTCCAACATCACCACCAATCGCCAATAACGACAACTGTCCACAACGACAAGAGCAATCGGCTAACGACAACATTAACCACAGCAGACACAACAACACCCACAACAATGCACTACTACCACAACAATCAGCCGTTAACGACAACAACAACAACAACAACAACAACACCCACCACGAGCACGCACTACTGTACCATTGACTGCCACATCAACATGGACAAGAGGCAGTAGCCTTCTCAGGCTTTTTTCGACCAAGCAAACATGCCGGATAACGGATGCAAAACCGGGGAAGTTGGGTCAGGGTTATAGGGTTAAGGGAATACGGTCTGCGTAACCCCTCCCTGTTCTATTTCCTCATAAACTTATACCGCCAAGGCGGTCCACGAGAGGAAGGCACTGACCGTTCGCCGCCCCTCCCTCCCTGTGGTCAGACCCCTCGAACAGGAACGTGTTGATGCCGTCCTCTTCATCGATCTTGAACGTCAGCAGATTGTGCTGCCAACAGAAAAAAAACACGACCAAATGACACACATATATATATACTCACGCAATCGTGCGAGGGGTGCTTTTGAGATGATGCTCATGAGGGTAGCGCAACTCGTTCAGGGTTATCGCAAAAAAGAAGCAACTTCCTCGCAAGGAGTTTTAATCTTGAACACCGGCAGGTGGTAGGGATGCTGCCATCGAGATGAGGATGACAAAGAGCACCCGAACGACTACGTTCTTTGCCTGGGAACGGTTGTCCATCGGTTGGCTTGAGCACAGCCGGGTAAATAGCGCTGTACTCAAAAGCGCCTTTCACGTAAATACACGCCAAGACAGGGGACAGCGAGTACTGAATGCGACAAGGCGCTGCACGGGGAAGAACAGGGAGCAGGCGCCCTCGTAGGGGGGTACGCCGGTGGAGGAAGGGCGAGAGCGGGTCGGTCGAATGGTGTAACGCCCCATGCAATACTCGGGGAATATCCAGGGAATAGGCTCATCGATCGATCGCACAGTCGACTTAAAAGACAATAACGGCCAAGCTCAAAGACGCCTACACGTTGGGCACATTGTCTGGATCGGTCTGCGGGGGTTAAAACCCTCCTGGCAAAAAACAAATATCGCAAAAATGTTTGTCAGCCGTTATTCGACGGGCTACGGTCCCTCCAAAGAATCGGAGCTCCTTGCCAGACAACGGGTGACTTGGCTTCAGTATGGAAAGTGCCCCCAAAACACGTAGGGACACTTTTCATGCCCAAGACAAATCAGCAGTTTTGCTAACTAGGGGACACGAGGCTTGGGAGATGGTGTACAGCAAGTCAGAGGCCGAGGAGAGGTATCACACAGCATCACACAGCGTACCACCTCAGGCCAGTATGATAGACCAAGGGTTCTAACGTGCGTTTCACACAGCGGAGCCTCCAACAGTCAGACCAACTCCGTCAGTCAGACCTGTCAAGTTAACAGACTGGCCAGAAAACTTGATGGCAGCCTCAAAAGGTAACAGACTCTGGCCAGAAAACTTGATACATAGCAGCCTCAAAAGGTAACAGACTCTGGCCAGAAAAACTCTATACATAGCATCCTCAAACGGCACAACAGCGTAACCTCCGGAACGGCTCGGCGACAAGCGTCCGTCTTGCTTGGCCAACTAATATGTAGACCCCACGTACATCTACCCGCACACCTCCACCAGTACCACGATCCGAACACTGCTCTTGGTTTTCTCGTGGGACACACCTGCATGTCCTTCTGTATCCGGGCGTTGGTCTCCTCCGTCTTCTCCTCTCCCTTGCGGAGCAGCTCGTCGATGCTCTCATCCGTGAGGCCCTGGCTGTCGTCCATGCGAAGGATCTCATCCGCCCCGAACTTGACCATCGCCATAAGCTCGCGCTGCGTTAAATAGACGGGAATGGTTGTGTGCGTACTCATGTAAACGCATGCCGTAGTCGTCGGGACACAATGAAGAGAACGGTAACACCACACACACACACAGCAGTAGCATAGGCTCACCCGTGACGCCCCCGCACGGGGTCCCAGATCACGGCTACTGCAAGCATTTGTGTTTTTAACCGCACTGGGACTGGCACCTTTTCATTGGCCAGCCGGTTATCGTGGTCGATCCCAACCAATACTGTAAGAGGCAAAGGGGTGGCACCCCCCCAGACCGTTTTTCAAAGCTCGATTGCTCCACAACCAAGATTTTCTGTACCGTACCGTATACCGTACCGTGGTACTCCGTAAGAGTCGGAGAGATGGCACCCCCCCCAAGACCGATTTTCAAAGTACAATTGCTTCACAACCAAAGTCGTTGTTCCAACACAAATAACTGCGGTTTTGGACGCATCTCGTCGGCGACTTTCCGTCGACGTATCGGGCTCTTTCTGCACTCTCTTGGGTGGGCAACAATCTAACTT